AACAGTTAAGGCACTTCCATAGTGTTTTCTTTTTCACGTTGAATGTGTCAAAATGTGAAATGGGATGTTATCATTTTTTACGATCATATTTTTTTAGGTTGAAATTAAATAAACTAAACACCTTTTTTTACACTCACATGTCATATATACTATTTATTTTGGTCCTCTTAAATTAAAATGATGCCCTGCCCCTAGTTAAAGACAACAAAGTTTATATAACAAGTCATAATTTCATTCTATAAGTTACAAGTCTAAATGATCTTAAACAATTAAAATACAAATATATTAAATAAACTACATTCTAAATCAATGATTATATAAAAATAATAATATGATTATTATGTTTACAGTTGTGTGATAAATTTAAAATTTGAGAATCAAATTAAATTGCATAAAATATTTTTCTTAATTGACTTTAAAACTTTTAGCGGTTTAATTGTTAAAAAAATATATTTTTTGGGCATCTTAAATCTTAAGCTTAGTAAAAATTTTAAATTTTATTATTTATTATTATTTTTAAAATTCTAAAAGTTCTCATAAATTATCAAATATTAAATGTTATTGATCATATAATCAATTATTAAAAAATATTTTAATTTAACCTGTGTTCTTCAATTCAAATTTTAATAATATATATTAAATACTCAAAAATATTATTTTAATGTTTATAATAATTTATTTTATTCAAATAATATTATCTTTAACAGAAAATACTTATGATATAAATTAAAAGTTTATTTAATATTAAATAAAAATTACTTATTTTAAAATTAAAGAAATTTTTTTAAATACAACATTAACTTATACAATTATAATTCAAAAAATAATATTTATATTATATTTTTTATAGGGATATGAAGAAAAATTAGGAAGGTATTAGGGTAGTGAGGGTAAAGATAGAGGCAACAATAAGTTGTTACAAGGTGGAGCCCCTTCGTCTTTGTCCGCTTTTGCCATTACTTGCCTGGAACGGCTCCTACTTTGAGACCTACTCTGCAACCATCTTCTTATGATCATGATACTTTATTTAAAATCAGTTGGTCCGGTGTGTTGTGTAAAAATGTTTGAATTTAATATTATTCAAAAAAATTTAAAAGATCAATTATTTGAGTATGTATTGAATTTTTTCCAAATCAGACTATTTATATATTTAATAATAAATATAACTATAAATCATTAAATTTCAGAAACTACTTAATATTATAAATACTTCTAGTAGCATTTTTTTTAATTTATATTAATCAGTCATAATAAATAAAAACTCACATATGATGCCATCGGTATTAATGGTATCATTTTTGATAAAAATAGACAAGCTATTATATTTATTTTCGGTTTTTACTTTCATTTTTCATGCAGTTGTTGATTTGTTTTCCGTAATTAAAATAATATTATCACATGTGTTTATAATATTGTTTCTAAAATTTGTTTTTGTAATAAATCTGTTTTTTTTTTTAATTGCTGTCATGGTCAATTCCATATGTCTATTGTTCATTAGCAAGAGTGTTTGTATTAAAATATTTTCTTACCTGTGCATTACCATAATCAATTGCTAATTAACTTTTTCTGTTCGGCCATGTGATGCAGAATTATACAAAAAAGAAGAAACAATAAAATAGAAGAATCTTTCATTTATATACAACGAAAATAGAAGGTTCTTGAATCATAAGCCCATTATATGTTTGTTAGACTTTTAAGCAAAATTAATATTAAACTCTATAGATTTTGTATATCTCTTTGTTGTATAGAAAAACTATCTGATTAGATATGTCGATGAACATTTACGTTTATTTATTTTATTTTGTTTTAATAAAATATTGTTTTCTTTAATTTGTTTATATTTTAAATAAAATAATATACTAGATATTATTATAATTATCAATATTTGTTGATTTAAACGATATTTATTCTCACATATGTAAAGTTTAGAATTTGCATATTATAAATAAAAAAGTAATTATTGAACAAAAATTATCTTCTTAATGTTTTAGATTTGATTATTTTGGATGAATATTAAAAAAAAACGTAAAAACACTTTTTTTGTATGACAGTTTTGAAAAATCAACTTATATTTTTATTAATTTTTTGAAATAACTTATTTAAAAAAATAATTTTTTAAAACCTATTATTAAAAGTTTTCAACTTAATTTTCATAAAATTTTTATTTTTTTATTTGTCCAGATAATTGTTTATTAAAATTCAAATTAACTTTTACACAAATTGTACACTTTTTTAAATTTTGATATAAAAATTAATTATTTTATGAATCAAGCATATACTATTCTAAATTTACTTCTCACTTAACCTATCCAAATATAAAACTTATTTTAAAAATCAAACATCAAAATAATTGATTGAAAAGTTTTATTATACTATTATCAAACTGTACACTTTGGATAGTTGATGAAACGATAAATTTTTTTAGTCTAAAATTATGTAATTTTAACTGCTCGCATTTTAACATGTATTTATTTTTAAAAACTGTATTAGAACTATGGTGGGAAAGAGTTTTTTCCTATGAAACAGCTTTATAACTAGCTTTGCGGGGAACATTTCTAGTGCACAGTGACAATGTTAATAGAGGATAATACATCTGTATACTCAAAATCAAACATCAAACAAAAAGGAATATTAATTTGTATCTATCGATATCGATAATTTGATGAGCATTTGGAATGTCATAAACAATACCAATTGTACATAATTCAAAACTAAATCATGCATAGTATTTTAAATATATAAGAAGGCAAGGTAGCTTTATCTGAAACAATTCAGGGAGGACAATTAAGAACAAAAGAATACCTGAATTTTTTTGGGATAGAAACAAGTTGTAACTTGTAAGGCTCTGCTTCCAATGGGTGCACAAAAAACTGTGCACAGTGGAAGGAAAAAAATCAATGGATATAACCTTAATCACGATAATTTAGGTGATCATATTGTCTGATTACGTCATCATTATTACCGTAAAACATTGTTAAAGATTATGTGGAGAGGAGAGTTTGGATATCACACTGATATTTTTTTAACCATAACAACATGCGCTTTCCAAACATATTTTTAATATTTATTTGGTAAAGAGTTTTTTTTTCTAGTTTTTCTAGTCTTAATAAAAAATAAGATATATGTTGTTTAGAAAAAAAATACTATAAAATTTAATAATATTAAATAATATAATATTTAATAAAAAAATTAAATTTATTAACTTCTAATTATGTATTTAATGCATAGATTGAAAAATCGGTAAAATATACACATAATAAAGGGAGGAGATAATTTTTCTTTAAAACAAAAAAACTTCAAATTATGCAACAGGTGATTTAAACTCAAAGATGAACAAGAAGGTCGATTAATTGATTCTCACTCAGTGCGATCATGGAGACGGGCTTCATCAGTTTCAATCGATGAAATGAATAGGCAAAACATCCGCATGATACGGGGAATGGTTCTCTTCGATCCACAGCGAGTCACAAACAGGTTACCTTCCTAGAATTTACCTTTGTTTCCAAATTCCTAGTAGTATCCTTGATGCAAATGGTGTCTAAAAGGTTAAGTTCTCCTCCTTTTTTCACCTTTACGATGATGATCAATACAAGGTAGCATGAGCATGACACGCGTTGAGAGGACATGTCGACTTTTCTTTTCTCTTCTCTCGCCGCTAAGATTCCATTTCTACCTCTTGCAAATCCAACGGCTAGATTCGCCACAAGGTTTATCTTAGATCCACGGTTCATATTGCTGCTTTGTGGCGGGAAAAAGTCCAGGTAATAGGCGGGACATAAAAAACAAGCATTATTATTATCATAGTTTTCTTTAATCATATGTTCCGTTTATTATTTATATGCAGTAGTATTTTATAATGTTTGTTTTGGTTCTGTGACATTGTGAAGAGGGAGGCAGGGACATGAGATGAGCGAGTAATGTGAGTTGAAAATTCCCGTGGTGGAATGGATAGGACAACACCGACGGCAGGTACAGACTTCTGTGCAAGTGGGGCCCACTGGATGAATTTTGGGGTATGTTCGATTAAGAACAAGCTTTTTTATTTTATAAATTTTGTTTTCTCTTTTCTAAGATATGAAATGTATTATATTTAATTTTAATTTATTTTAACATAAATAATTTTCTTAGCATTTATCAATTATTATCAACTGATTTTTTAACAATTAATATATTTAAAAGAAGAAAAAAGAAAAAATGTGAATAATTTATTTATAAAAATTATTAAAAGAGATTAGTGAAAAAATAAAATTTCCCGATTATAAAATACCCGGTACTCTGTCTGCTTTCTCTTTTCCTTGCTTAATTCATACACAACCATTGAAGTCTGTACTTTTTTTTTTCATTGCTGTGCTTGTATACATTATTAGATTTGCATATGATCACAGATTGATATTTTCTTGTAATTGAAAGTTGACCACAAATATCATTACAGTGCTTCATGAAAATAACAGACAAGACATTACAAATTTAGTAAGTAAATCTCCTTCCATGGTGATCACAATTGGCATGTAGCAGAGTCTACTTGAGATGCGGAGTTATCTTATACTAAATTTATCCCATGGACAATTAAATTTTAATTTTATAAATTCTTGTTGTTGGATTAAAAAATTTTGCTAGTAAAGCGTTGAAAATTCAGAAATTATGGAATCTCAAACTTTAAATTTTCTATAACATTAAATTCATAATCTTCATTAAACTAGATGTGAACAGATACTCTATAGTTTATCATTCACAAATAAAACAAATTAGACCCGATATCATTTTTGGTGAGGTGGTACATAACTTTGGTTGTTTATTGGAATAAAATGATATAAAGAGGAATTGGCAGCAGGAAGAAAAAAAAGGGAAGAGAGAGAGAGAGGATAGAAAGTGGAGATAGATTGCTTATGGTTAATAGAATAGAGTAGTTAATAGTGCAGAGGAAGAGGGGTCACAATATGTGAAGGAGAGTAACTCCCCAAAACCAAACCCGCAAAGGGGTATTGCATTTGATCATGTACATGCCGTAAACTCGGCTCTCTCCAAGCGCATGATTAAAGAGCCCACCCTCCTCTGATGACGTGGCAGTGATCCATTGGCTCGTTTGGTCTCGTCGGGATTCATACCAACACACCAATAAACAATACCAGTCACTCTCACTGCTTTTCTCTTTCTTCTTCTCTCTCTCCCATCTGTGTTTTTCTCTCTGCAGAATTTCGGAAATTTCTCAGCTATCCTATCTCATCTGCTCCTGAAAATTGCACATTCATCACCACCAATGCACGATCTTCCCTGCGAATGCAATTTTGATATTTGATTTGGGAATTTAGAAATGCTGGAAGCAATGGAAAGTTCAGTGAATGGTGGGTTTTCGCAGTTACAGAGCTGCGGAGACAGCAGCGAAGAGGAGTTATCTGTGCTTCCTCGTCACACGAAAGTGGTTGTAACCGGAAACAACCGCACCAAATCTGTCCTCGTTGGTCTCCAAGGCGTCGTTAAGAAAGCCGTTGGGTTAGGTGGTTGGCATTGGCTGGTAATTTTCTCTCCCAATTCCCTTTCCTATCAAAACCACTCTGTCTATTCTCAATTCCTTCTATTTCATTCTCTGTTACTAATGTTGTTTATTTGCATTATTACGAAGCCATGTCATTCTTCAAATCAGTCTTTTATGTCGGTCAATTTTTGTATTTACTATTTCTTCTATTTTTTTTTTCACCGTCCAATTCTTATCAAATTTAATTGCTCTGAAGTCCCTGTTGATTGGGAAAAATTTTTTTCTTGATCTTTTAATTAATTCGAAAGAATTTAATCCGTTATAAACCCTACCGTACTCTGGATTCTTGTCCAAATCATTCACTCAGTTTTCATTTACAATTTCAAAATGTTGGTTTCTTATTCGTTTGCATTTGTTTCACCTCACAATTCTGAAGCATTGCTTGTGGGTATCTGTTGCATGTCTTTCTTCATTGCCGGATCTGGTGTTTTATGGGGTCTTCCATAAGGATCAGTTGTGAATTGGGTCTTTCCTTTCTTTTTATTTATTGACGGAAGTAAATTAATTCATCTTTGACTTGGTTTTGGACTTGGCATTGGTAATTTGATGTCTGAGCTCTGAATTGAGTATTTTACTTTTTTTTTTTCGCATTATTATTTCCTATTTTAAATAAATCATCTTAAATAGATTGTTGCATGTCGGCTTCCTGCATATTTTTTACTTCCCGGTGACAAGTCACTTGCGTGTTCTGATTATTCTTAGAAAAAGCTTATGCAATTAATATTGTAATTGAATTGCATATTGTCGATGTGCTTCGTATTTGTTTCTGTTCCCCCCAATTCCGTCCCCCTTTTGTTTTGTGTTTATACAAAACTGATTTCACATCTTATATGAACAATTCACATTGCAATCAAGCTATTCTCTGGACTTTCTTCGGGAGATTTGAATTTGAATATTGCTGTTTGTGAGCATATCTTGATTATTTAAAACTGATTTGGCATTTGTTGGGTGGGCGATTATTTTATGTTGTTTTTTATATGAACAAGTGCAGGTTCTTACTAATGGTATTGAAGTGAAGCTACAGAGGAATGCTCTTAGTGTGATTGAAGCACCCACCGGAAACGAGGAAGACGATGACCTTGAATTTGAAAATGTGCAGTGGAATGGATCAGATATGGGTGAGTTTACATTTCACAGTTTTTCTAACTGTATTGCTTGCTGGCTAGTACGGGTGTTGTGTGTGCACCCAACACTGAAAGTAGGCATATATGAGAATGCTGTGATATTTTGTTAGTTAATTAATTGTTTCGGCTTCCATGTCCGTGGATTTGCATAGTGGTAGAGGTTGGTAACATTGGATCCGTTGTGTTTTCTCCTTTTGCTTTTGCTATCTCTAAAGTTCCAGTGTCTTATTTCTTTAATTTTTGTTGACCCCACCACTATTTTTTTAATTATGTATTGTGCTCTGTTTGATTTCTCAGCATCGGACGACACACAGAAGTCCCACAAATCGAGGCACAGAATGCATAGATCGTTGGGATTATCTCACAAGTCCATGAGTAGGTCCTTCTCTGGCGATTCACAGTCTAAGGGGTCCGTTTCTATGCCTCATGGGGCCAGGGTATATTATCAACTTTATTTTATTTTTTCATAATTTTCCCCTCACCCACTGACATAGTAGATGGTTTATTTCTTAATATTTTAATTATGATCGTTATGTTTAAATATTTTCTGTAGAAGATCGACTTGAGCAAGCTTGAAATGGCTGCACTGTGGAGATATTGGCGACATTTTAATCTAGTAAATTTCTCAAACTTTTGGTCCCACAAAAGTTGGGATTGTGGCTGTGTGTGTATGCGTCCGTTGTACTCATTTCTTAACATGGATTTGTAGGTGGATGCGGTTCCAAACCCATCAAAAGAGCAGCTAGTAGACGTTGTTCAAAGGCATTTCATGTCTCAGGTATCTAAATTCAGTGATTTCTTTTTCGGCTGTTTTAAATAGTAATATTTATAATATTATAAATGAGGATTTTGTAGTGGTGATGCATATCCGACTCCAATCTCCCCTGCACAGTAAGCATATCATAATTATTTAAAGATTTACCTATTATCTCAAATCTTTAATAGGACTAAATTGTTATCAAATAAATATTTTGGTGACTAAATAAGTACTTTAGTCTCTTAAGAAATTATAATACCTTTTTTTTTTTAATATATAATTATTGAAGAATGTAAACTTAATAAGTTTTAAATAATTAATATTATAATAATAGAAGAATACATAAATGTGGTAAAAGAATCCGGTTTATCATATTTGTCATACTATAGTTCCTAGCAAGTAATGTGACGATGGTGCAAGCATTCAAGCATGCCGTTAAAATCGACCTACATAACAAGCCGTTGCTTTTAAATGTACGGTGTATGTCTATATACTGAAGTGTTTCGGGGAGTTCCGTGAAGAAATTGAACAATTATTTGACTCTGAAATTGTGTTTCTTTCTTGTGAAGCAAATGGACGAGTTGCAGGTGATTGTGGGATTTGTTCAAGCTGCAAAGAGGCTTAAGACTGTGTGCAAATGAGATGGAATGATGCGAGAAATGATTTAAGTTAAATTGTCTATGCTAACAAAGATAATGTATCTAATATCCACTTCCCGTCGTATTTTGTAACATATTTATCAGTGATTTGTAATTTTCTGATATAGTAGTAGGTTGGTAGTTTGAGGTTAGAGGTTTTTACTCTTGTAACCACCCAGTTATGTAGATATATGTGACCTTGCAACTGGATCGTTAAGGAAGTCTGCACGGCTTTCTTTTCAGCTTGATTCAATGTATTGCTGACCTGGGAAGTGGGTTTCAGAGACCTTAATGTATATATATATTTTAGTTTCTCTCAACTTTGATTCATTTAGACGATTTTTTGTGTTCTACTGATTAGGTGGAGTGATTGAGCCGGTGCCGCACTTGTCTGCCAATCTGCCACCTCCTTACTTTAAAGACTCTTGTTGCCTGTTTTCGAATGAATAGCCACACCCCCTATTCCACTGTCTGCAACAAGTTTGTTATGTCATATCAAGCTGCTTGTCGAAAAATAAACGTAATTTCTTTTTTAAATTGTTTTTTTCTTCTTCCTTTAACCCGATTCCTGATAAAGCCCAGTGCTTTAACAATAAAACAATAAATTAATAGGAAGCATATTCCCATGTATTTTCATGCTTTTTGAATGAAAGAAAATAGAAACGAAAAGCATATAAATCATGCTTTTGTTAGAAAAATAAAATTGCTACATTTTAGAAATGAAAATTAAAATTTCCATTCTTATTTTTCAATACCAATTTAAAATTAATTTCATTTATCTTTCTGCAAATTAGACAATCAGTATTTATATAGTAAAAAGAATATAGAATGTTGTCGGATGATTCCACAAAATGAGCATAAATAATAAAATTGGATGATTGAAAAAAATTATGTTATCAATTAATTTACAATAAATTGAATTAAATAATGGAAGCTTAATTTGTTAGGTTATGTATGATTATCAAGGTAGAAAATTTAATGTTAGCAGGTGAAAAAATTACAGAATAAAAATTTTAGAGTAAATCTTCCTTTTATTTGAAAATGTCTTGATTATTTTAATTTTTTTATGAAATCTTTGTTTAGTATGTAAATTTGCAAAATACTACTTTTTTTGGTTATTAATTATATATTTTACTGTTATTTTTTACTTAATATTAAATTTATTTTAAATAATTTTTTATAAAAAGGGAATTAAAATAACAAATTTGTAAAGTAAACAATTGAAATGGTTATTTATAATTTTTTAAATGAAAATAGAGTTTATTCAAAATCTTGCAATTAAACATTGACATATTACTTTACTATTCAATAACGAAGACTTTGTATATTGTTATCCGCTCTCTTTTCATTTATATAAGAAGAGAATCTACCTTTTTCAGCACTCTTTTGTTTTCTTTAGTTTGGGATCATCTATACTTTAGTATAAACAAAGGTAAATAGTACTTTTTTGCGACGGGTAAATGAGTGAAGTGGCATGCGATAACCAAATCAAACAGAGAAAAAGGTAAACAATACTTATATATATATATATATATATAAAATTTAAAAATATAAAATAAAATCAAATTATCTAATTTTAAAAATAAATCATTTTGAGTATATTAAATTTTAAAAGATAACATTAATATAATCAAAGTTAAAAATAATTTTACATTAATTTAAAATTATATAAAATATTTAATTAAATAATTTTAAATAATATATTTTTTTACGAACAAGTCTTTACAATAATTATGTTATATTTGTTTTATATATAAATTTTTAAAATAATTAAATCACGATATTTATTTTAATATATTAAATATCTTTTTAACTATTGAAGAAAAAATATTAATTAAGAAAATAACATATTTGGAAAAAAAAATGTAAAACATTATAGCATGTTTGAAATTTGTTACCCTTGTTAGACTTTTTATGATGACATTATACCAGGAGAAAACAGAAAAGATCGTTTTGAAAACATTTTTCTTAAGGGCTCGTTTGTATATTTTTTTTAAAATGATAAAAAAATTAGTTTAATGTATTACATAGAGCATTAAAAAATCATATATGCTCGTGAATTTGCGACAATTTTTTTTACATAGACTAGAATAAATGTTCATCATTCAGTAATATTGGAAATTAAAATGTTTTTGAAGAATTAAATTAACCAAAATAATCATAATTTTATTCATAAATTTAATGCAAGATTCTTCTCTCACACAAGATTAAAATTTGATATAATTCCTTAAAAATCCTAAAATGTCACCGTACGTCTTCAAGAACTCTTTCTAAAAAGTGATATATGATCAAGAGTATATCTAAGGACCAACATTTAGCACAAAATTAAAAAACCTTTGTTATACATTGGCAAACTATTTCACCATAAATGAAGTCGTTCAGTCACTTCCAGCTTAACAACAATAAAGGTTACAAACTATAATTTTTTTTTTTTTGCAAGAACAGTTCGCTCTGACAAAGTGGAAGATAAAAGGAAACGAGAGTTGCAAAGATAATGTGAAGCACTAAATAACATTCATTTGCGCCTAAGCCAGTGGAAGCACTCAGTAATGTTACGCCAAATCATGACAGCCGGTACCTTGGTGGTGGCACTCGTAATGTACCCATAGACCTTGGCGTTTTAGGATAATAGGGGCTAGGAGGTGGTGGAGAGAAGAAGTAGAACGCTGCCGGTGGCGGCGGTGGAGGCAGTTGCGGCGTATGGTGGTGGCAGCCAGACCCAGGTGGTGACAGTGGCTTAGCTTCAGGGCTCATGTGTGAACCATGGTGTGGGTGTGGGTGTGAGGAAGAGCTTGTTGGGGTGGGGTAGGAAGAGACAGGAGCACATGAATTGGAGAATAACAAAGCCAAGAGAAACACAATCCACATTTGAAAGCTATTCATGTTTTTTTATCTTCACTTGTTTTGTTACAGTGCACTTAAAAGTGTTACAGTTATAACATAGAATCAATAACAGAGACATATGGTACTTATAGGGGCAATTGGTCAAAAGTGGTGACACAGTCTATTCATTTCTGGCTAATAATGAAACTTGACATTGGGTTAGTTAATATTGCACTGTGTGTATTGGAGAGAGTGGGTAACAAATAGAGTAATAGTAATAATAATGAATGTCAATGAAAGCAACAACCGACCACCAAACTTTATTGGCGTGTCTCATCTATTTCTCCTTATTGATGTTGAGTTTTCACCGGCGCCGCTCTGTGTCCCCACTTCCACTGCCATATCCCTCTTTCTACTTCATTTCTTACCTTCTTTGCTTCTTTTCATTCCTTTTTAATAACTCTCACATTATTTTTCTTAACGTGCTTTATCTTTTATTTTCATATAATTTGTAGCAGGAGTCATCACAACAGGGGATCAAACTGTTAATTTAACCTCTAATTTATGAATCAGTTTTAATTAGTGTCCTAAATATAATGCTGACAAAAATTTGAAAATATAAAGTGTTTATTAAAAATTACAGCGAAAATGGATTTATTACTTTTTAAATCTTTTTTTTTTTTTGGTTTTTTTAGTCTGTGTCTTGAAATACTATTCTGTATTTTTTTTCATAATTTATTTATTACCCGTGTCATACCCTAAATTTCTAACTAATAGTAATTCCTTTCTAGTGTAACATAATTTTTCCAGAGCCAATCTTGCTGTAGCCTTGAATGAACAATAGATTAGATCGAATCTTATTTGATTGTCGCTTAACGTCTCCTCTTATAACAATTATTACTTCATATTATAATTATAAAAGATATACTTTTAGATGAATTAAATACTAAGATTTATATATATATATATATTGTTTGATTGGTGTTAACAAAATATTTACATATTATTTATATAAATATTAAATTTGACTATTTATTATTATAAATATTTTTAAAATAAACTTCTAAATTTATGATAAATAATTATTAATATCTAATCAGCAAGGTAATTTTGCCTATGTTCTCAGGTATCCGTGCCGGTGCTAAACTTCGACATACATACATAACTTTTAATGATTTTGGTAAATTAATTATTTGTTTTTTATTAAAAAACAAAATAAAGAATCATTCTTTATAAATTATGCATTGTTCGTTTTTTGTTATTAATTTTCTATGGAAAATAAATTAATTGGCATAACAAGAAAACAAACAACTGAAACAAGATATAATTTTCAAGGTTGCGTCGAAAATGCAAGAATATATGCATATATAGGAGCAGTTGCCTATTTTATTTAATGCTAAACTTCGACTTATACACATTACATGTAATAAATATGAGGCTCGTTTGTTTGATATTACAGAAAAAAAAGGTATAAAATATGAGAGTTGAATAATTAAGATAAAATATTGTTTTATATTATATTTAGCGTATATTAAAATAATAAATTAAATATATTATATTTCTTGTATTATCTATTTTTTACTCAAAATTTTTAATATGATAAAATTTACACTGCTAAAATAAGATAAGCCTATAAAATAAACTTATTATAACTTATTAGTTAAACAAATAATAAATTAAAAATAAAATGAGATAAAATAGTTTTTTTTACTTATCTTATCTATCAGATAGGTTCTAAGCCGAAATACATAAAATGGTCGTGATGGTTTGTTTCTATCAAAACGGGATAATTTCCCTTCAATTTCTTTGCGTTAATGGTTTTTGGCGATTTTAATACTACTTAACTGCTACAAAAGTTTTTGGAACCACAACAATTTATTCGTTGTGGGAAAAAAAAAACTAGGATAAATTGTATTTATTGGATATGACTAACACGGTTCTTTTCAAAGTTACACTGACTTGGTAAAATTAACATCCCATTTAGGTGAAAAAAAAAACATATAAATGATCAGTTCAACTGAATTTTCCGTACCGTTGACTCAAGGAGTCTCCAAAAATGTGTTTTGAAAAATGCAAAAGAGAAAAAATTTGACGGATTTCCTGGTGTGAATGATGGAAAATATAGGTGAGTTTTTAGTCTCGACAAAGAAAGCGATTTTTTAAATTAAATTATTCATAAAATTAACTTAATAATATACAAATTAGCTTATTTAATATGAAGATCTATTTCACCTATACAATTTTTATACTTCTGTCTATTTGACCTACTCTTCAAATTTTTAGACATTTGGTTTTGAAAATTGATTGGAGGAACTCATGACTAGTTTACCAATTTTTTGATTGTTATATTAATTACCTCATCCGATCCGATCTTTTTTTATATCCTGCTAGCTAAAGTGCGCAATAGCTTACAATCATCATCCTTGTCCAGGCCTTGTTCTTTACATGAGGAACTTTCATTTGTTTATAAAGAAATGATTATATAATTCTTAT